TCATCTTCAATCATTGTTTTGTCCATCTTTTTCATCATCTTGGTATTCTCTCAATTAATTTTTTTTTACAATTTTTATCCAGCCTTTTGTAATTTCTTCTTCTTATTCCTCTTTGGTCTTCTTAATATTCTTCCTCCTCTGTTTTTTTTCTCTTTCTCATCTTCACCTACTTCATTTTCCCATTTCTTTTTCTTTTACTTTGTTTTCTTCATCTTTCATTTTTTTTCTTCCGATTTTCTTTCTTAAACTCCAGTATCATTTTTTTCTTATCCTTATTCTTATTCACTATTACATGTTCTCATCTGCTTCTTATTTTCCATGGTTTTATTCAAATTCGTCTTCTACTTCTAAGTTATAAGAATCATATGTGAATAAAAGTAAGAGCAATATATATGATTTATTAGGAAAACTATTTGTACATTTTTTATAAGGGCTTTTAGTAAAAAAAACCCCTCAACTAAGTTTGAATCGGATAAAAACCCCTTAACTATTTTTTAAAGTAAAAACCCCTCAACTAAGTTTTCGTAATGATTTAGCCCCTCCGTGAGCAAAACCATCAAATCTTAACAAATCGTTCTTTTTTAGCAAAAACTACACGATTTTTACCCTAAACAACAAACTTTTTGAAAACCAGATATAAGAATCACAAAATTAAACATAATCTCTAAACTCCCCAAATTCTTAAACCTAAATTGATGAACCCTATTTTTTGAAAGTGTGATTCTAAGTAGTTTTTATAGTTTGGAAGTCAATTGGCTGAGATTGAAAATGATTTGTTGTGTTGATTAAAACGAGTTTGAGAGAAAAGTCCTTGAACTGAGAGAAATATTTTCGCAAATTGGGAGAAAAAGGAGAAAAAATTCACAAATGTGAAGCTTGGAAGAAGATGAGGCAACTGTTTTACTTTGATCTTTAAAACCTTGTTCTTCTTCTTCCAGCGAATTTACATAGAAGAAGAATTTAAGAGATTTTCAAATTGAATGAGAAACCCTAATTTTTAAATTGGGGATTTTTAGTTTCAAATCGATTTTGGATTTTCTTTTATTGAAGTCATTTCGTTGTTTTATAAAATACAAAACACCACGTTTTCATTTAACTGTAATCCGTTAAGATTTAATGGTACTGTTCACGGAGGGGCTAAATCATTACGAAAACTTAGTTAAGAGGTTTTTACATTACAAAAATAGTTGAGGAGTTTCTATCCGATTCAAACTTAGTTGAGGAGTTTTTTCACTAAAAACCCTTTTTATAACAATAAATAACAATTATGAATGGAGAAAAATAAGAAAAATATATAAATATTAATTAGCAAACACTAATTAGAAATCGGTTTAATCATTTATTTTTATTGATGATTATTAAATTTAGAAAGTATATTAGGGAAATTAATTAAAATCCAAACACAACGAAAAGCTAATAAATTGTTAAAATAAGATATGTAAGAAAAAAAATCAAAAACAATGCAAAGATTTGATGAAACTTATATTAAAAAAACATTGAATGGATCTCCAAACACGAAAGGGATTCATCATAGAACCTGCACGTTAACAAAGCAGTATACATCATTCGAAGAGAGGAGCAGGAACCCATTGACTTGCCTCATAGAAAGCTTTGACATATTCAGTATCATCGTGAATTAAACCCAAAGCATAACATGCAGCTTTGAAAGTAGGGTGGACAACACCATTAATTGTTCTTATATCCATATAAAAACATGGATTGAGAACGACATGCAATAAAACCCTCAAGTAGTAGGCTTCACCAGCGTTAGGGTTATAGTTGGCTATAATATTCAGTCTGGAGTTTCCCCAAAAACGGGGATGCCATTAACGTTTTTACGATCCCAAATCCAGTGGGTCAAAAATTCAGAATACATATACGATATGTCTTAAGGATAGTCCTAATTACACTTTAACCAACCTGTAAATTTATCAATGTAAACATCGGCAGAAAAATGTTCATCTTCTGTAAAAATGATTTGAGATGGAGACAGATGATATGGAAAAATCTGACAATCACAGAGGGAACGATTGCTAGTCACTACAAAAAAAATCATAAATTTTTTGAAGGAACGAACTATTAGGTCATAGATTTACATAAGAAGAACATCTAGAAATAGAAAAAAATATTTAAAGCATGAAGTAAAATAAAAAACATAAAGTTTTATTTACCTAACGATTCTATTGTAAGGAGAGAGATGAAATATTCAATCAGCGAAGTATGAACTATAAAAAATAGTAAGTTGTCATTACAGAAATGCATAAATCATATATATGAAAAGAGCTGAACCCTCTCCCACATCTTGCCACATCAGCACTCCAGAGGCCAACAAGTGTCCAATTCAAAAATAAATTTAATAGCATTTATTTCAATTTTCAATTTATTAAGTGTAAATTTCATCAAAGAAACATCTACATTTTCAGTCCTTTTTTTAAGAATCATCTACATTTTCAATCATATATTTTCATCTTTTTCTTCTTTCAATTTTTTTCATCTGAGAATATATATAAATTGAGGTTTTAAAGACATTGTTTTCAATTTTTTAGTCTTGATGTTCTGCTAGAAAAATTCAATCTCACTAAAAGGAAAAAAAAACAAATTAAATTTGTTTTTATGATTTTGGAGCTTGCTTTAGAAATATGTTAAGTCGGTTTGAAGAGGTTACGAAAAACCTGCGGAATCGTGTTTAAAAACAAAATTCTATTACTCTGCAGGTTATCTCTAAGGTCACCAAAGCGTAAATCTTAATTATATGTTTTCAAGCAATTCAACCCAAAAATGTGGCTTTTATCTATGTTTTTCTTACTCATATCCTGTTTATGATTACTAAAATGGTAGAATAATTTTCCTACTTATTATACTTCTAATCCTAAACAAAAAATTATTTGTTTAATAAAGATTTTGTTTTTAAAAGAACTGATACCAAACAATCAAGTAAATTATCATATTCTTTTAATTAATTATATATATATATCAATATAAATATATTTATAAAAATATTATGTCAAACAAAACCTGAGCATATGCGCGGATACAATAGTATGAACTATAGAGACGACACATCAGATTTTTGACCTCACAAATAATAATATAGATAAAAGGGCAAAGAAACGTTTGCTTAATCTTCTCTTGTACTAGTACGTCCTCCATGATATATTCAGTGTTCTCTGCATGCTTTTATGATTATGTAGCATCAGATCGTAGTCCCGAAAAGCTTGTTATATAGCAGAACTAGTATTTAATTACCCTGCAAAAAATGAGTTACGTAGTTTTGTGTACAATTGAATCTCTGAAAGAATTGACCTCTGTTTTTTTCTTTGTAATAACCATCGAGAATTGAGTCTATTAGGTTGTTGTAATATATAGTTATTGAAGTCACAAGTAGAATAAGTACTATACCTATGTGATTTGAATTCTATAATGTTTTCCTATATATATTTTTGATTAAATGGTTTATGATTCATGAATCTTTGCGATTAACCAATGGCCTTGTGTTTTCTTTAACTACATGTACACCAATTTACTTACTTTTATTTTTTTTTAGCTTGCGGAAAAACAAAACCACAATATTTATGTTTTAACTTGTTTTTATTCTTGCGAATTATTAGTACAACGTACGTTAAGTCTCTGTGGATTGATCCCACATATGATATCTTAATTTGTTGTGTACTTGAAAATAGTAAAGTTGGGTCAAACTGGACACACACCACTAGGTTAACCATTAGTATGGTATCAAAAGTTGAGGCTGATGTGGCTCAAGTTGATAGTTTTGCATGTTCTTGGCGCCAATATAGACAAAGATGGGTAAATGATCATACAGATGAAGACAATATGAAGTTGTGATATTCTCCTAGAGCCCAAATGGGGAAAATGTTTCTGTAAGCTGAATAACTGATCATACAGTTCCGATTAAAGACTCCCAGTATTTCCTAAGAAAACAGAAAAAAAAATAAAAGCAAATGTAATAAATCACATTGATCAAGAAAAAAAACTGCCTATACATATATAAACAATATCTCCTCACCTGTTGTGGGTAATCTCCATCTTCCATCTGCGAGTTGATCAGTAATTTGGCCCCACGGTGCAATGGTATTGGGTCTCTAGTGGCCTATTCAAACTCGAAGCATGGGTTAAGTGCCCCTATTGTATCTTAATTGCTGAAACAAAAATAACGTTTTAGAGAAGATTGAATCTAACCTGTCCTGCTTCGATGAGAGCTAGAACTGCCCATGATGTATTTACGATATTTGATCTATTACCGGGAAGATTTGTGTATACTTTATTTTGGCATGACAGGTAGCTCTCTCCCCACCCACCACAAGAAAGTTGTTTGGAGAGAAAGAATTCACAAGCTTTTCTGATACAAATATTGGTCTTATAGGTTTTCCCAGCAGCCAACATGCCTTTGATCCCAAACCATGTCGCGTAAGTGAAGCAGACTCCCCACGAGCCGTACCTTCAAAGTGATCAGCTTCCAGGTGGATAAATCACAACATGGATGAAGAAAAAAAATGACCAACTACTAAATACTGACCATGAACCATCAGGAAGTTGTGTTTTCTCGATAAACCCAACTGCTTTGTTGATGCATCTTAGTATCTCTTTGGTCTTGTATCTTGAATTGATCTTTGTGAATAAAGCGAGGCCTTGGATTGCAGCTGATGTGCATTCTACGTATCTGCAGATTTTTCAGCCTCCATCAACATGAAACTACTGAATAAAATGGAATTCATGTAGAACTGATTCTCATCTTACTGATAATCTATGATGATATCCCCAAAAGTCTCTGATGGGTTGATAACCTGATATGTATAGGCATGCAGCAAATGAAATCAATGTCTAATTATCAAGTCTTGAATATGAACATATTAAGGAAGATGGTTTAACCTCTAGCCAAGGATATGACCTAGTAAGCTCGTATGATGCAAATCCTCCATTGTCGTTCTGGAAGAAGTAAGCTTATAGCAAATGTATATTATAAAAATATATATACGAAAGTTCATAAAGTATACCTGTAATGATAAGATAAAGTTAACAGCATCAAATAAATGTTCTTCAGGCATGGCTTCTCCTACCATGTTAACCGGCAATTGCATCAGTAGCAGGGTTGCCTGCAACAAGAAACTTCCATCTCTTTATTTTGTTTTGCAAAAAGTCGTATGAGAAATTGAAATAAAAAATTGTCATAACTGTTGGGTTAGTTAACGTAACCTTCAAGGCTTCAGCGGTACAGTCAGACACAGGCCATGGATTGTCTGCAGTGGAGAAACCCCATCCTCCCTTGGATGGGTGTCGGTACCATAATCCTGGATCTCCACACGTGTTTTTCCTTAGCTGTTTCAAGTGAAAAACCAAGAATTCAACTAAATATTTTCGCATATAGTGATCTAGAGTTAAGTAAATAACTTACTTGAGAGTTCTTGATGTATGTATGTGCTTTATTAAGCATCATGCCATACTCATCGACCAAATTTGTAGCTAAGATTGCTTGGACCGCTAAGGTCACGTCCCACAGTTGAGATCCATTGTATCCCTAAATGAAAATTATATATTTGAAATGTTGTTTAACTCAATGGAAAGGGAAATAAAAAGAAGAATGAGATTGAACCTGCATTTTCATCCCATCTTCAGCCACCCACAAATAATCTTTTATCCTTGAGAGATGACATTTAAATGCGTTAGAATCTGGAGCTTCGACCCAGCAGCAAACCATATTCAAGACCTTAAATTTGATACCAACCCGACATCTTGTCAGCAAAAATAGTAACCAGGCTTATAGCTAAATTACTGATAACAAGTTACCTTGTTGACCGGACCGATACAAATATAGTGACTGTTTTGGTCTTCATAGTGAATGTGTTGCATCACTGTCTGGAGTGCCCGGTTTCTGAGCTTAGAAAATGGCCATCTCTCAAGAAGAGGCTCTCCAAATTTCTTCAGACAACTCCACATGATATCTTGAATCTTTGGATGTGGATAATATAAGTCCTCCTGTATATATATATATATATTATCGATGCACCAAAATCTAATAACAAACAATTAAAACAAACTGATTCTACCTTGGCACATTGATTGCGGGCGGTATCCCAATCGATATGATGATAAGGAACAATGTAGAGCTCTCGTCGAATGGACAAAATAGTTCCATTGATGCGACAAACAAATCTTCTTCCGTACAGATATGACATTGGAAGATAAACCATCCTGCAATGGCACCACATTCGCCCTGGATGAAAGAGAAGAGTATATGGAAGGAGCCATAGCTCTGGAGGTAAAGGATTGTTCCCACTCCATTCATAAACTCCAAGAACCTGTTTCATAACCTCACAAATTCATCAACCAATGATTTGTCCACAAAACAATCACAAGATTATGTTTTTTTGTTAACATACTGAGAGCCATAGCTTTCCCCAAGAGGGAGTAAAGGTGGCGCCACCATGGTGGTGAATCCAACCTCTAGCTGTGTCCATGGCTCCATTTCCACCATCCATTTCTTCTCCCATTAGTCTGAGTGCTACGTAAGAGAGAGCTGTACAGAACATGGTGCTGCTCCCTTCTATATGTAGTCCCCATCCTCCATCCTTATTCTACACGTTATTTCTTGTGCAAGTTAGGGCTTTTGTGTTATCTAGTTACTTTTTTGCGTAAGAGTTCTTTACAATTGGTTCTTTGACTAAAACAAGATTCAATGTGATTTTTGGTGTGAAACCTGATGGTTGTATAGATAACGGCGAATCTCGATTTGATGTTGAGTAGTTAAAGTTGCATCTAAAGCTTCGGTCACATATAAGCCGATCACCTGATACAAAAATCAGGCTCTGTAAAATATTTACCCGATTCTCAATATATATCACCGGACATGTGATAACATATGATGTGAGTCATGTCAGAGAGCTTTATTATTGTAATACTACAAATTACCACTTTGAAAATTGTTTTAGTTATCACTGATTCTTTTTTATGCATTTTAAGGAATTACCAGATCAGGCAAGAGAAACAATGGGCCACCGTAGTCACCAGGCCAAAAGCCATCTTTTGATTGAAGTGTTGAGTAGAATCTCAAACTTCTTTTTAGTGTCTCATTCACGACTTCTTCACTTGTCTCCTCTTCTTCTTTCCCCTCTTTTACTTTCACTTGTGGAAGCCTCTCCTTTCCTCTTCCGTTCTCTTTCGAACACTATAGTTCAAGTTCATGTTTTCACATCAATCCAAAATTAAAAACCTTTTTGAAACAAAATAAATGAATAATATAGCGCTGATTGTCAAAACCGTAGCATATAAACAAATTAAGAGTAATCCAGTTTTTACACCTTTCGGCTCGCATTCATTTGATCCTTCTCTCCATCAATATCCATTAGTGAGTTTGGATGGAACTGTTTTATAATTAAAACCGAGTACTACATATACATGTACATAAATATAACTGAGCACCAATTATAATAACTGAAAATAGAGGAATATATTACAAAAGCACATGTATTTATAGAGATTATTATTAACATGTATAACATATCAAAAAAACAAAACTTGTCAACTCTTAGCCGCTACCTATAGCTAACTTTTTCATTCACACCCCTTGTTGATATCTAAGATATCTATTATAGAATTTTCACCAGATTTAGGTAATTAAAGTTGTGTTTTATTAGTCAAACTTAACTGTTGAAAGGAAAATGAAAATAAGTGTACCTGAAAACGGTAGAGAAGGTCAGAACTATGCTTGAAACGAAACCGATTGAGAGTAAAGTTGGCACGAAGATCGGAGATGTGATGTCTCTCTTCAGAAGTTCCAAATTTGTCATCATACTCCCAAAACTGTCTTCCAACGTGTTGATTCACGCTCTCTTCTTCTCCTTCCGACAACTTCAACCTCCACATCTCTTTTCTTTCTTTTTCTCTCTCTCTCGATCTTGAATGTGAGATTTTTTTATATCATGTTAGGGGAAAAACGTATAGAACTCGTGAAGCAAATCAAGATGCGGTTAACAGATGTTACATATATAAGTTGCCAGCAAGAAAGCGTGCAAATTACAAAACTCGGGATTTATTATTATAAAATTTTTAATCTACTAAAGACAAATTAGAATCAAAGGGATCTTTCACATGGAAGATAAGGGCATCTAATTGGTCAAAAACAAATAAAACAAAAAAAGATGAAGGCATCTTTCTACACAAACAAGTGCTTGAATAAGAAATTCGTTTATAAGAAAATAATAAAAAAAAAATCGACTATTTTTTGATGCCGTATCTGAATACCTTAGAGATTTCATTCACATAGGTCCAAAATTAGATTGAAATATTAGTTTCACCGGCCAGTTCCCGGCTAATGCAATCCAGGTGTTCAAAACGGACGAGAATAAAGGCTAAACGGAAGTTTACGTATAGCAAAAGTAAAGTCAGTAACTCACTGAAGGAGGAGGATTAGGCATCAAACCACTAAAGGAAGTCTATACTGTTTGCATTCTGAAACTCATATATAGAGAATTCTCTCGGGAAAATCTTCATTATGGGTTACTTGGGTCCACCGCTACCTTATTCGCAAAGGCTCTTTCTTGGCAGTGAAGGAGAACACCTTTACTGGTTCTTGGATCTGGAAAAAGATACTCAAATACAGAGAGAAGGCAAAGGAGTTCCATAGAGTAGTGGAGCTGAAAAGTGGAACTTCAACTCACTTCTGGTTTGATAATTGGAATCCTCTGGGATATCTCTTTTCCAATATAGGTTCGAGAGGTTTCATCGATTTGGGGATTCAAATACATGACACAGTTGATATGGTTTGTGTTTTCTGCCAGTGTCCTATGGAAACACGCACAACCTCTTTTTCACCTGTAGTTATGCCTCAGAGATCTAGTCCAACCTTGCTAAAGGAGTTCTCCGAGATCATCTGTATACTACTGATTGGGATGATTTACTCCAGATCATCTCAAACTCTCAACACGATGGACTGAAGATGTTTGTGGCTAGATATTTGTTTCAAGCAACGATACACACCATATGGCGGGAGAAAAACCAAAGACGGCACCGAGAGCCTCCGTCACAACGTCAACGTTTGATTCAACAGCTCGACAAAACAATGCCAAATCGCATTAGCACCATTCAGAAGACCGGAGATAAACGTTTCATGGAGGGGTTGACATTCTGGTTCTCTTCGAGGACAATGACTTAGCTACTCTCATTCTTTTTCAAAACAATTCATTTGACTCTTTCATTCTTGACCAAAGTTACATTTTATTGTAAAAACGTTTTTTTTTTGTTGAATAAAATTTACATTTAATTCAAAAAAAAATAAAGTCAGTAACAAACACTACAAGAAAATATATGTTTTACCGACAGATTTGACCGACTATATATTTAAAGGCGTTTATGAAATGAAACAAAATTCATTGGAAATATGTTGATATTTTCCAACAAAACATAAAAGATGGTAATTCATCGAAAATCTTTAACGCATTTACGATTAAAATGAATGTATCGTTAAAATCTATAAGAATCACGCTGGATGATGTACATAGCGACAATAATCTTCCTGAGACCACGTATAACTAAATTCTAGTAGCATTTTATCGTGTTGAAGTTGGTGAACAAGTTAACGTTTCTGAGCAGTGTACTAGTTTTTTGCGACGGTTATCGTTCCCGCAAATCCAACGCTGTCTCTGTTTAAATTTAGACTGTATGGCAACCCGAAGTGGTGGAAAGTTTATAGCTTTGATCTATTGTAAATGAAGATTTATGTACTGATAAGAAGAGAATTACAAAGATTTAGCATCCATCGTTGTCGATCTTATCACCATCCAAACACACAGGACTCATATATATCGTCTCTCTACCAGTTTGTTACAACAATTTTAGCTACCTTTTCTAAAACCACACTTTCACTCTTTTGTAAAGCAACGACTATAATAGAAAAGACACAAATTCAACTAGAGGTTCTTAAAGTCTAATCATCCTGTTGACTTTGCTTCACTTGTATTGATCTCGTCTTCTTTCTCTGCCAAGTCTCTCTTCTTCTGCCTTGATACGTTCCTCCTTTAGATCTTCACTCTAAACACTGGATCTCATAGTTTTGGATAAGATTTGGGTATGAACTTTGAAAGAAACTGAGGGAATAATAGGTCACACAAAGGTTGCGGAAGGCCTTTGATATACCAAGGTGATTCGATGGATATGACACACCAAAGAATCAGGTTGCTTGAAAGATATAACACACTCACAAGCTAAGATGTTCAAGAGAACAAATGATCTAACTTAGAAAGAGTTTTGATAGAAAAGATAGATGAGTTTAACAAGGAGCGTACAAGGGTTTAAAAAGAAAGAAAACAAGTCTGTGACAGCCAAGACTTGTCTCGGAAATAACTAAGACAATAAAGACTAAGTTTGAATAAGGAAGAAACAAGAAAGAAACTCTTCTTCTCCAGGCCGATACTTCAAGTGTTGGGCCTCTGTTGGATCAGCGAATGAGGGATATGATGTGAGCCGTTTGTCTCATTAAAAACCTCCCTTTGGAAAACCCATTGGGACAAAACCAAAAGAGAGGGAAAAAGAGTGCAAATGGGTCACATGCCCATTCACTGATCATCTTGAGCCTGTATAGAAACCAATGCGGCTTGTATAGCAACTTCTCCCTCCTGGCTCAAGACATTAGCTTGTTTCCAACTGGTTCTAAGCATAGCTTCGATAGCTTCCTTAAGTTTCTTGCTCCTTGATCGAGTTATTGAACCGGCTGGCATCTCCAAAGCTTCTTCTATATCCGGTTCTTCTTGTTCTTCTAGTCCAACTGCTTTAGCTTCAAGTTCCAAGTCCTCTAGGCTGTCCATGATCGCATCATCCCCCTCCTCTTGAAAAGGATTTGACCTCAAATCTGGTTCATCTGCCACAAAAGGAACGAGATCAGAAACATTAAAACTAAAACTGAAACTGATATTATACTTACCTCGGAGATCAAGCTGATAAGCGTTGTTGTTGATTCTTCTTGTTATGGTGAAAGGTCCATCAATTCTTGGCATCAGTTTGGACTTTCTCTCGGCTGGGAACCGTTCTTTCCTCAAATGTACCCAAACTTGATCGCCAACTTCATCTCTCGTCGGTTCTTATTTGCTTTCTTGACATAGAGCTTGGTCTTTTCTTCTATGTTGAGTTTAGCCTTCTCATGGATCTGTTTAACAAGTTCTGCCTTCTTCTTTCCATCGAGACTAGTTCTTTCACTCAAAGGAAGAGGGGTTAGATCCAAAGGAGACAAAGGACTAAAACCATAGACAATTTGAAATGGGGAAAACTTAGAAGTAGAATGCATCGAGTGATTATATGCAAACTCTACATGCGGCAAGCAATCTTCCCAACTTTTAAGATTCTTTTTGACCAGAACACGCAATAAAGTTGATAAGGTCCTATTAACTACTTCAGTCTGCCCATCAGTTTGTGGATGACAAGTAGTAGAAAATAGAAGCTTAGTACCTAACTTAGACCACAATGTTTTCCAGAAATAACTAAGAAACTTAGTGTCACGATCAGATACGATGGTCTTAGGCATTCCACGCAGACGCACAACTTCTTTCAAGAACAAACTAGCTATATGAGATGCATCATCGGTTTTATTAGAAGCTATGAAATGAGCCATTTTTGAAAACCTGTCTACCACCACGAATATAGAGTCCTTTCCAGTCCTAGTCCTAGGCAATCCAAGCACAAAATCCATAGATATATCGATCCAAGAATGAGAGGGAATAGGTAATGGAGTATACAAACCGTGTGGCCTGACTTTGGACTTAGCTTGTTTACAAGTGACACATCGTTCGCAAATCCTCTCGACGTCTCTTTTCATATGCGGCCAATATAAGTGGTCTTGCATGATTTTCAAAGTCTTTGTTACACCAAAGTGCCCCATAAGACCTCCTCCGTGTGCTTCCCTGACTAAAAGGTCTCGAATAGAACAATTAGGAATGCACAAACGATTATCATAGAAGAGATATCCATCTTGTCTAAAATAATGATCCTTAGCAAATTTTCACAAGACTGATATTTCTCTTTAAAGTCAGAATCGGATGCATAGAGAAGCTTAAGCTGTTCAAAGCCTAATAGCTTAGCATCAAGAGTGGCGATTAGAGCATACCTGCGTGACAATGCATCGGCAACTACATTGTCTTTACCTTTCTTGTACTTAATAACATAAGGAAATGTCTCAATGAACTCGATCCATCGGCCATGTCTTTTGTTGAGCTTTTGCTGTCCTTTTAAGTGCTTGAGAGACTCATGATCGGTATGAATGATGAATTCCTTGGGCCACAGATAATGTTGCCACGTTTGGAGTGCTCGCACCAAAGCATAAAGTTCTTTATTGTAAGTAGGATAGTTCAGCATGGCTCCTCCGAGTTTTTCACTAAAGTAGGCCACGGGTTTCTTGTCTTGCATCAATACTGCTCCAATTCCTACACCAGAAGCATCACATTCAATCTCAAAAGTCTTAAGGAAATCAGGTAAAACAAGTACCGGTGCATTGGTTAGTTTATCCTTAAGTATTTGAAACGCTTCTTCTTGTGCTTGTTCCCACTTAAATCCCACATCTTTCTTGATGATCTCGGTTAGGGGAGCGGCCAATGTACTGAAATCCATCACGAATCTCCTATAAAAGCCCGCAAGGCCGTGGAAACTCCTCACTTCTCCAAAGCTTTCTTAACTTTACCGGCCCTAAGAAAGAAGTTAGAGGGTTTTGTGATCGGTTTTTCCTTTCGCTTTAGCTGTATTTGATCTTGGTAAACTTCTTGAGGCGTCAAAGGCACCAGGGTAGTTTTCCTGCCATTATAAACAAAGGAATGTCGATTAGTATATCCATCATGTATAACCTTTCGATCCGATTGCCATGGCCGGCCAAGGAGAATATGCCC